GGGCGGATAGATGGACAAACAAGTTTGTGGGTACAGCATAACCTGCACTTGAAGAAACTAGAAATCTCGAGAATTGTTTTCTTCGTTATGTGAGTTATACTTGTATCCACTTAGTTTTTCATTTTATTCACATTTTCCCACTGAGAGACACAATATTTGAATTCTGTCATCGTTATCGCTCCTTTACTCTCTGTGCAAAATAATAAAAACTAAAATTAAGAAAAATAAATATAAATAAATATGTGCGCGTACACATAGTGTAGGAAGATCAAAACAAAATTAGAATTAAATTTTGTAAAAAAAAAAAGTATAAACTGAACAATATTTGAATTGATCTCAAGGCGTTCCCTCTTGTTTGCGTAAATATATAAACAAAACCTGGGGAATCCATAAATTGATATTCGAAATACTTACGGGCCGCTTTCAATAAATGGATTCAGTCGATGTTTTGACAATTTCAAAAACTCAAAGCTTTTTGTATTTGTGTCATTGAAGTATGTTTGAGTTTTCAAAAATGATAAACCTCGACTTTACGATGGAATCATAGCTTTCAACACCTATGTAGTAGCCTGTACAGAGATTTGTGCTTTCAAATTGTTTATTATGAATTTTGTATCTTGTGCTCTTTTGGCAAAAATGTACGCAATTCATGCGATAGGTAATAAAAATACTTTGCTTTTTTATACCCGTCAACGAAGAATGAGAGGCATAATCACTTTGTCAAAACGTTTGCAACGTCCAGAAGGAAGCTTCAGGGATCCCACGAGCAATGTATATACTCTTGATCAGCATCAAATTCTGAATCGATTTAAGCATGTTCTTCCGTCCGTCTGTCCGGCTGTGTAATATCTGTTGCAAGCATTCTTCTGGGAGCAAAAATTAATCTGTGAACTTCAAATTTGGCAGAAACATTGAAAATTCTTGCGCGTAGCTTGATATTGAAAATGGGTTAAACAAGTCGAGCAATGCGGCTACTGAGAATAACTCTATTTTTCAACGCCAATAAAAAATGGTTTTTTGCTCATTTCTCATAAAATACAGCAGATAAATGAAGAAAAGTTTGAACGTATACTTTGTGAGCGATGATCTAGTACTTGTATAAAAATGGAAGAAATTGACCACGCCTGCCCGATATTATAGTGTATCAAATATTTAATTTTTATATTAATATTTTTGTAACGCACAGAAGCAACCTTCAGTACATCAAATTTTTAAATTCTTGGCTCATTTCAAATTCAGAATGTACGTAAACATGTTCATCTGTCCATCCATGTTCACCTTGTCCATATGTAGATCCCCCCATCTATCCGTCTGCCCATCGGTGTAGTGTCTGTGGTAAAGCTTCTTCCGTTCGTATACAAAATTCGCAAAAGAGTTTTTCAAAGTTGTGGAACACACGCACAAATTTACCGTATGTCGCATGTAATTCTTACTCGATTTTTTTGCACGATTTGCTAAGAAAACTATCTACTTTGAAAGTTTCGTTTCAAATCATAAATAAAAATCAATTACTTTTCTAATTTTGTGATTTTTTTTTAACTTTATTCGTGCGTCAAAGATTTTTTTCAAAGCATTACACACATTCGTAACTGTTACTACACAATAAATATTTTATTATAAATGAATATAAAAGGACTTAAATTTAAATCTAGGTACAGATGTATAAATAAAGTATTATTCAATTTATTGCATTCGTTCGATTGCTTTAATAAATAAGAAATTTACATTTTTGTAAAATTCTTATCGCAATTCATATCCAAATAACACTGAATCCAATTATTGTGGATGATTTTACTTAATAATAGTAGAGTTCAATGATTTTGTTAACTGGGACTTTTTATTGCCGGAAAATAATAAGTTTTTTTAGTCAGAATACGAGGCCAGGTTTAAAATTTTCTAACTCTGTATAAAAAAATGCTTTTCATCGTATTGAACATTAGATTAATGATTAACGTTGAGAAAAAAATTAAAGGAAATGACTAAATGTCGATATTTCGACGTAACCTCAAATTTTGAATGAAATGACAACATAACCTCACATTTTATAATTGTTGCTATTTATAAGTGTATATATATCTATATAACGTGAAGAGGTCTAAAAGAGCAGCAAACAGTGAAGAGCTGGTAGCGAAGAGTTAAACGGACAAGGTAACGTTGCAGAGAAACACAGAAAAACAGGGATCAATCGCCGAGTCTAGTTGTAAAATCGTACAATCATCAAACTCTTTTTGCTTACTTGCATTAATTCTTTAGTTTAATTCTTTCATTCTTTAGTTTAATTAGTCAATCGTGAATTGGAATAGGTTTACAATAAACGTAAGGCTATAATCTTTAATTCTAATATGGAAGATATTATCATCATTCTTTACATTTCTTTTCTTCACATTATTTATATTTTTTCAGGCCATGTTTTAATCTTCTCATTTTAGCTGCTATAAAATGTAAATATATTGCGATATAAATTCATAATTTTTTTTTGAATAAAAGCTGGATTAATGCCTACTTTGTGTAATAAGTAGTACTAGCAGTACTAGTAGTTCAAACATTTACCATGGCTCGCTCGGAGGCGTAAATTTAGCAAAAAAACTTTTCAAGAATTGTTTCAATCCATTAATTTTTTAAGAAGCACTCTTAACTGTTTAAATACCCTATGCAGATCGGCGAACCATGAAGGCGTATTCAATGTAATCCCTTCGTGAAATATTTAATCGACCCTGTTACATCATGAAGATAAACGTAAACCCGAAATGCCAGTGAATGGGCTTTACTTGTCATGGACGCTTTCGTTCATTAACTTGTTGTGTTCTGCCTGCGTGTACGATTCGATTTAAGCTATGTGATCGGCGTTCAGTTCACAGTAAAATGTGGCGAACAGTAAAACTTAACCAGTTATTGTTCCGCCATATAACACGACATCGCCAAACTTTTTGTAGCAATTAACTTATAAGGCATTTGACTTGCTTTGGCGGGCGCGGAAATTCGCCTCTATTTTTTTTTTTAGAAAAGTAGACAAATTCTTGTTTTCTAGAGACCAAATTTTTCCTTCGCAAAAAGTTTTTTTTTAATTATTTGCTTTCCACTGAAAAAGAGAGCCTTCAGCAGCTCGAAGTTGCGTTCAGACTGAGTATTAGGTGAACTGAACTCATTGTATGTCGTCTCTCTAATCCTCCGAATCATTTCTAACCCGAATGAAAGTGGTTTGATCGGTCTGACGCCTATGTATTCTTGCATTTAACCTTTGGTTTGCAGCTTTCGAGATATTAAAATGAAGCACGGTACAGTGACACATTTTGGCTCAAGAAAGAATCGCATTGAAAAAATAAAATAGATCGAACCGAATAAGATCGTATGTTGAAAAAGTAGTTTATGTACAAAAAACTCACCACTTCTAAAAGTCTTAGCTGATAAATCGCTGCACATGAATTTTCCCAATAATATTATTGATCGAAGAAAAGATCAATAACACAAGTTGTACATCTAAGCTATATTCGAATACGATTTTAGGTTTCAACGCCTGCTTTATGTGGAGATCATAATTTAACAAAGTGGCGATGATTGGCGAAAACGTCGAAATATAATAACTAATTTAGCTTTGTTAAATTTGCAATGCCTTGACATTTCATAAATAATTTTCTTTAATAAAAATTTTATTTTAAGAGCGTAAGATAAACGAAAAAAATTTGCAAAGTCGCACTTTACAATAAAATAACTACCCTTTGCTGATGGTTTGTGCCTATTTAAAGCTTTCTAATTATATGAAATATTTAAAATGACTATTTTATACCATACGTCACTTGTAGTACAAGGCTATACTAAGTTTGTGCAGATGTATATAACACCCAGAAGCATTTAAGACGAAGACCCAACTTTTATTATAAGCTTATCTGTCCGCCTGCCTAGTGTACTGTGATCTGGCTGCGGGTCGCATTTTTTGAGATATTTTAGTGAAATTTAGTATACCGACGAGTTTAGGCCCAAGGGCGAACGCTATTGAAAATGCTTCAGATTGGACCAATTTTTTGGCCACTTTCGATATAACGCCTTATTTTAATAAGTGCCTTAAGCAAAGTGATGTAGTTACATTAATAAGTGCCTTAAGCAAAGTGATGTAGGGCATTCATCGATTTTAAATATTCTGCAAGACACTTCGTGAGAATAACTGCCCTATAGTCCAAAATTTTATTCCAAATGCTTTTCGAAATCTATCTGATCCTATTGCAACAAATTCTGCAATAAGGCTCTGCTAATGCAAATTAGTATTAAAAAAAAAATTGCGAACTATGCTAGAACCGGGTTTTTTTTTGGTCACTTTTTGCTTCAAATAATACTAATCTTATACAATATTTTGTCTACACAAACTTATACCTGAATACTATATAAATCGTAAGCATATCTGAACTCGTTATGATTTTGTCGATTCAGTTTATACAATTTCGTTTATCGATACAGCGGTGGATATGTAGACGGTATGGAGTTGACTATGATTTATGAAAAAATATAAATTTGAATGCATTTTACTTAGATGTTTTAAATTACAATTTAAATTTGTATTTGTGTATTGACTATCCTCATGATCAACTATGCGCTATCTAATTGGCCAGGCCTGTTTATCTCGAAGGGGAAAATGTTCCGATTAAAAATTTAAATTCATTGCTTATAACGTTTCAAAATTTGCAATATTTTCAAACTTTGGCGAAACTTTGGTTCTTAATTTAATGCAATTTTCATGATTGCGTAGACAAACTAGTGGCAAACTAGAGAGAATAGTTTATACACTTAATATTAAAAACAAAATTCATATGTGCTCTCTTCGAAGTGAATAACATATTAATTTACATAATTTTTTTTTTTTTTTTCTGTTTAATAATAATTCATCTACAAGGACTTTGAAAAAGTTTTAAAACAATGTTGTCTCTTACGATTACTAAGTTGTGTCAAAAATAATTGCATTGAATGTGATGACGCTAATACCAAATATTATTTATTTTGGATAATATTTTGAACGACGCCAACGATTCACAATACTATTGGCCAAAACGTACGCGAATGTAGCACAAATTAACTGAAAAAAATGGCAAAATTTGTTATCGTTATAAGTTTCGATGGCTGCGTGAGTAATAAATTGCATTTAAATTACCTCAATTATAGCTAAAACTAAAGCGAAGATATTGAAAGCAATCCAACGTTCAGAAATATAGTCGAGAAATTTCTGACGACACCCATCCATATTCAGTTTATCCGTTTGACTGTTGTAACAACTGTAAGGTGGTAATACATAATCACTGGGCCCACTATTGCCACAGCATTCCAGCTTTAATCGTGCAACGACGTAAAACATTCAGATCAGTCTTAAAGTAAATCACTTTGTACTCTTAATTAACTTACCCAACGTTCAATACTCGCTATTTGACTAGCATTTCCTGGTTTAATTGGCACTGGTTGTTCCCGCCATAATTTGTCGAATGTTTTATCCACATTCACGAAGAGCTGCGTCTTAAATATCCAGAAGAAGCCAACCGTTAATACCAGTAAAACGGTTAAAAATATTAGAAAAGCTGCAAACTGTTTTCGAAAAAACGAAAAATTTATACAATAAATAATTTCTTCTTCGTACTTTTCATACTTACAGTTTTAAGTAAACAACTATTTTCCCGAAGGGCAGATAAAATGCCGAAGAAGGATAGAAATAGTGCTACGATCCCCAAGCCGATTATAACGATCGCAGCTGTGTGAAAATGATCAAATTTCGTGACAATATAGATGCCAATGCCAATAACAGCTGAGGCCAAGAGCTGAAAGCACACAAGCACAGAAGGTTTAAATTATAGATGAATTAAATCTAATCAACGAAATAAAATCACAACATTCTTGTTTATTTTATCGTGAAAGACAAACAGACAATGGACTTAATCTTGATTGAGGGAAGATTACTATTCGAGTTTGCTTTCGAAAGAATTTGTAGAAAGGTTTTGGAGAGCCTACAGTCATTATACAGATGAATACTCAAGTTCAAATGTTCATGTTCATGCAGAAAATGTTTTTAATTAAGAACTTTTGGCTCGATTGATGAAAATCTTTTTGCATCGCATCCTGGCTGGAAATGGCAAGTGGATCTGCATTGAGGGTTCCAGGTGTAAAAATTCTTTCATATCTGCAGGCATATCAGACTTATCAACTGCGAGACTAAATCGCTTTGCAAGGTAGATGATGTTCGGCGTTTGATGGAACCAATAGGGTGTGGCTCGTGTGGCCGACACGATTAATAACAAATGCTAGCAACAACACTTATTGCTGTTCAAAAACCGACCGAAATATTAAAAAGGACAATTTAACGCCATTTCGTCCCATGACATTAAGAATCGGTTCGGGAGACGTTAGAGGGGCTCAAGTGGGCGGTGCTAGCTTCTGCGGTTTACTCCTCAAACTCAATTTCTTCCAATTATCACCACTTTCCGTCGGTGGGGCACGCTCTTACTAAGCAGCCCTACATTTCTTACGAGAATATACGAAAAGGGATCGATGACTGAGTTGAAAGAGCAAAGTTTTTTTTTTTGATGCGTCATCTATCTGTAGTCAGACGGTTGGGAAAAATGTATAATTAGCAACAGGGAATACGTCGAGTAAAATACTTTTTGTCGCTTCCATACAACGAAAGTATATTTTCGTATATACGAAATGCACATTCCGGCTTCATATGTACATACCTTATATACGCATATATATGGAAGAAAATGTTTTCAAACTGGACCTGTTTGCGTTAACGGTTTTTCGATTGCTCTATAGCCATATTAAGCTGTAAAGGCATATGAAAGGTCATCACATTTCGAAGTAAGTGACACTTCTTCTCAAGATATTAATTAATATGTTTGAATGCCTTTTTTTATGCACGCTGAAGGCATGTGTTGACATTGTTTTTGTTTGAATTTTGTTGATGTCATAAACAGCAAGACGTTTGAAGGCATGTCTCAGGTTAAGGCAAAGTCTTAAGAGCACATGTGATCTGTGTTTAAATTTCCACCTACATGCAAATGTACCGTCTACGCAAGTACTCAAGTGCTCAAGTCTTTTTTTTTTTTAAGTATTTGTTTTTTTCCTATTCGCAATTGTGAATCTTGAAATTATTATGCAACGTTTTCGTAAGTGTTTTCTGTCGTTGTTTTACGTTAATAAATTCTAATCAAAAGTTTCAGTTCCACAGCAGACCTATTAAGTCAAGTAATTACTTTGTATATACACATATTGTGCATATATTCATATATTTGTATACATTTATGTAGAATATCTTATCACGCGTTCTACTTTTAAAATAAGTTCAAGTTAATAAAATTAAAACTTATTCCAAAGATTATTTAGTATAACAACATTTTTTATTTTAAGTTCTTTTTGAAGTTTAGCACTTAAATGAGAAGCGAAAAAAAAATGAAAATTCTCTGATTCACGTAATGAAAGTTCACTCTGAAATATCTAATCATGACGTTAACAATGATAAGTAAACCGCTCTAAAGAACCTCAGTGTTATGTCCGTTTAACACTCGAAATTGATCTTCGAATGCCGAATAATTCGGAATATAGTGGCTGCAGGAAATAATCGCCATCTAATCTCGACAGCATAATGCTATAATAATACCAGTAATTGTAGTGCAAATGCATTGAGTCAATTGTGCACCAACATTCCGGAGAATCGCCAACTGCCGTCTAATCTGTTAACAAAAAATAACTTGTTCGGAATCAGCGCAAGAAATGGTAGGAAAGCGCTAAGTTGGTATCAAAATAAAACAATTTTCGATGGAATACTTGGATATCTGTTTCTAGACTAGATTCGAGCGGAAAATTTTTCACTATTACTGGATAAAACTAATCGCAGAACGACTGAACGAGTCACACGAGTCTCCTACACCAAAGAAATAGGCAAACCCTGCAAGCTGCCAGATTCTAAGTGAAGTCTGTTCGTATTCCTGAGCGATGCAAGTTCGCCAATCCATAGCGGTTGTTATAGCAACCGATTTCTTTGCTTTTGAATCACTTCGATGCTCTTCTAACATTTCTAAATTATCGCTTATCTCGCAGAGATTGTCAATTCTTCTTACGTACAATATTACTTTTCATCGACAACTGACTCCAATGCTACGTTTACGCGTATTTCCTCCTTTAAGTCGAAATCCTCATTTTTGCAGCAACGGATTAACTGTGCACTTGCTTTTATTAATGGCGTGTAATCACGCAAAGTATTCGACGATTTTTGCCAGCGCTTTTCTTCGGATTAAACAGGTAAGATAATATTCCTCACAAAGTTCATTCTCCCAATTATTTTTTGCACGTCCTCTGTTAAAAAACTCTCAAAATTGATGAGAATATAATCCCTACACAGCCAGTGATCAATCGGTGTAATTTTCTCAATTGTGTCTTGAATATGCCATAGACCTTAAAAGATCTGGCTAGAGAGAAAATAGAAACAACAAGGAAGTCGTTATTCTGAATGTGAATTCCAAATTAGCAAGAATCTTACTGACAGTTAGTACATTGTTTCATATCGAAACAATTTGCGTGCTCTGTTAACTTTTTTCTAAAGATCGAAAATCAAAAAGTATCAAAATGACATACTCGGTAGTACCAGTATTTAAAATCAAAGCAAGAAGTGATGGCCGGACAATCAGATGTGATCCGCCATAGCATCAGCGCAAGTTTGCGTGCTAAGCATTGTACGAACTTGGAAAAATCTATTGTGAAGTATTCTTCTAAAAGTGAATCTTGTCTTATTGGAAACTGCAAGTTAGTACAAGTACAAGTATAGACCTATATGATCTTAATGTGTACAAAATCAAAAATTTCAAATTTCGCTGTCTCTCTCTCTCTCTCTCTCTCTCTTTCTCTCTCTTTCTCTCTTTCTCTCTTTCTCTCTCTCTCTCTTTCTCTCTTTCTCTCTCTCTCTCTCTCTCTCTCTCTCTCTCTCTCTCTCTCTCTCTCTCTCTCTCTCTCTCTCTCTCTCTCTCTCTCTCTCT